GTGATGGATAGAGGAGCCTGACTCCAGGATGTCTAGCAGATGAAGGAGAACTCTCCCTGAGCCAGGATCTGGAGAGAGATGAGAGCAGGGTGGGAGAAAGTCCACTGTGGAGAAGGTGAATGATGATGCTGGGAGCCAGGAAACAGAGGGCAAGGTGAAAGAACCAGTGTCTGAATACGGGACTTGACTCAAAGGAGCTGCACGTGAAAAGGTTTCTGGAGGCTTTCTTTAAGGAAAGGCATATTTATCCAGAGGCTAGCTCTCTGCTTAATAATTCATCAGAGCTCTGGCTCCTAATTCAGTGTAGAGTTACTGCCGCTTTGAACCCGGGCAGTATTTTGTAGAATCCTTTCAGGAAACGAAATAAATGGAGAAAAGGCAAAACTCTGATAGGCCATGTTGCCAGATGTAGAAAAATATTTTTTTGTTTTTGTTGGAAAATATGTTGAAATAATTGACAAAGAACTTATAAGGATGGGTTTCTAACAGTCAGATGCTCCTCATAAGTAACTCTGATTTGTTTAAATCATGAATCAATTTTTCCTTAGTGCTAAAGAAAATAAGCTTTTTCTCAAAAAAAAAAAAAAAAGCTATACAATAGGTAGGATGGATTACTTTGAAGACCTCCTGGCCAACCTATATTGTTTAAGGACCTAGTATGAAAAAAAAAAAAGCTATTCTCAGAGAAAGTTAAAGGGATGAAAGCCAAAATGTTATCCAAATAGATAGAAAAGCAAGACAACAGCTGCCTGATAACAATGCTTCTCAGAACATATCAAGAGAGAAAAGCCTCATGTCAAGCCCAAGCCCTTCTATCTTGGCATCACCCTTGCCTTAGGCTACAGGCTTGCCTTTATCTACCTTTCCACCCATCACGTACTGTCTCAACAAATCAATGTACCTGAAAGCCTTCATTTTAACTTGGTGTTCACCATCTTCCACACAAAAAAGCAGGATAAAATATCAAACTACATGAAATAGCTTTTCTGTAATTCTTGAGAAAGAAAGAAATGGGAGATTAAGTCCAATCATCCTAATTCCTATAAAATCTTTAGAGGTACATGCTTCCTTGAGCACCTAATGACCTGAAATGATTATTAGGGTGCATGAACCATTCTCCTCCTAAGGCTGACAGGCAACCCATTCCCGTAAGGATAACAAAAGTTATGTTAACTGATAGTACATAATAACTGGTATGCTATTTAGATATGATCTCACAGCAAACTTAAGCAAGAAAGAGATTTTCACAGAATTAACATTAAAGTTATTAAGATCATTGATGGTCTAACCAAAAACTTTAACATAGCTGCATTAAAACAGCCTGAAAATGGATTAAGAATCCCAGACCTGCCAGGCGCGGTGGCCACTTTGGGAGGCTGAGGTGGATGGATCACGAGGTCAAGAGATCGAGACCATCCTGGTCAACATGGTGAAACCCCGTCTCTACTAAAAATACAAAAAATTACCTGGGCATGGTGGCACATGCCTGTAATCCCAGATGCTCAGGAGGCTGAGGCAGGAAAATTGCCTGAACCCAGGAGGTGGAGGTTGCGGCGAGCCAAGATCACGCCATTGCACTCCAGCCTGGGTAACAAGAGCGAAACTCCGTCTCAAAAAAAAAAAAAAAAAGAAATCCCAGACCTTTAATCAAAAGGAATTTATTTTGCCTAAAGATCCATCTAGATGGTAAGAAATATTGAAAACTGGGAAGTCCTGCCAATAATATTAATTTTCACATTAGTATAGTTCCTAGCATCAGAAATGTACTCACCAGACCATTGTTAAAATGAAATACATTGGTGGTGATAGAAGACTTTCAGCATTTAAAAATTATACAGGCAGAGTAGCTTTTAAAAATATGTAATCTTAAAAAATTTATTTCTAAATGTATCATTTCTATGGGAGATTTGAAAAATTCCAGGAAAAGCACCCATCATGCCACCTGGAAGTAATCATAGTTAATATTCTAACGTATCTCCTTCCAGCCTCTCCTAAACATGTAGATACATACAATCTACATAAATAAGTAAATGATTATTTAACTTGCCATGGTGTGTGGGTGCCATGTAGATGTTCACTTAACACCCTAACATATGTCTATAGAGTTTCAAATATTCTTGAATAACATAATTTGAAATGATTAAACAGTAGCCCACTGATTAGTTATATCATAATTCATTCATTTGCTATTGTTGGATATTTCAACATTCTAATATTTTCAATATCATAACTAATACAGCTAATAATACTGTAGTATGTGCATCTTGAATTATACTCTAGGATAAATTCCTAGAAATACAATTTATGGATAACTATTTTAAGGCTTCTGATTCATCTTAACAAATTTCCTTCTTTACAGATTTTTAACACTGAACATTTTTCAGGCTTTGAGAAAAGTCTGGCCTACTTTAGAACTGTTTTATTAAGTTGAACTCTTTTGAAGTTTTAATATTTTTCTACTTAAAAAAGATAATACTTCTAGAAAATTTAATCAAATATATGAAGAGATGCTTATAAATATTCCAAATAAAAAGGACAACTAAGACTCCATTTTGAATGAAATATAGGCATTCTTTCTAAATCAACCAAAGACAAAGCTAGAGGCAGACGCAATCTCAAAATATTCTCCGGCTTTGCTACTTTTCAGACGTTCCTCTTTTTGAAACATGCTTCCTTCGATTTTTGTGTGCCGCTCCCACTTCAGATCCCTGCCTTCTCATATTCTGCGCAGGCTCCCCCTTGTCTTTTGCCGTCTTTAGGTCAGAACCCCCAGAGTATATCCTCAACGCCCAGTCCCCCCACTCTAGGTGGTTCTCCCAGTGACGTCACCCATATCATCAGTTCAAGTACGTTTTGTGCATTAATGATATCTGAATCTCTAACTCCAGGCCAGGCCTCCACCCTGAGCTCCAAGTCCTCATGTCCAACTTCCTGCTTGAAGGTTCCATAAATATCCCATTCTTAGTGTGTCTAGAACTGAATTCATCATTTTTGCCTTAATCTAAGTGAATGAAAATACCACCCTCCATCTAGGAGCCCAAGACAGAAAACTTGGGCACACTTTATATTCTCTCCCCAATCAACAATCATGAAGTCCTAGAGATCCTATCTTCTAAGTGTGTCATATGTCCCTTTCTTTCCCTGCCCTTCCTGTCTAGGGCCACTCTCTTTGAACAGTGCTGAGAAAACCCTTGGCAAAAGCTATTCTCAGTTGTTCTGTCTGTGGGGTTTTCCTCCTTCAGCCCATCCTCCATGCTGTTTCCAGGGTGATTCTTTGAAAATGTAGGACTGTACCAGTTGCACCTACCAGGATGGCTATAATCAAGCAACTGAAAATAACAAGTATCAGTGAGGCTATGAAGAAAACAGAACTCTTATACACTACTCATGGGAACGTAACATAGGCAGCCACTGTGGAAAACAGTATAGCAGTTCCTCAAAAACTAAACACAATTATCATATAAACCAGCAACTCTCTCAAAGGCATATATCCAAAAGAATGGACTCAAACAGCTATTTGTATATCAATGTTCATAGCAGCATTATTCACAGTAGCCAAAAACTGGAAATAACTCTAACAGAGGACTGAATAATTCAAAGATGGTATATACACACAGTAGAATACTATCCGGTCTGGCCATAAACAGGAATGAAATTCTGACACACGCTATAATACAGATGAAACTTAAAGACATTATGCTAAGTGACATAAGTCAGACACAAAAGAACAAACAGCATATAATTCCACTTATGTGAAATACCTGGAATAAGCAAATTCATAGAAGCCAGAAAATACACCAGAGGTTAGCAGGGGATGCGGGGAGAGGAGAATAGGGATGTGGGGAGAGGAGAATAGGAATGCTATTGTTTATGGGCACAGAGTTTCTCTTTGGGGTGATGCAAAAGTTTTAGAAATAGAGGTGATGCTACAATACTGAATATAATTAATGCCAATTAATTCTACAATTAATAGTGGTTCAAATGGCAAATTTCATGTTATTTATGTGTGTGTGGATATATATATTCACCATAATAAAAGTGAAAAGGTGCAGAGGCAATCAATTCTTTAAAAAATAAAAATCTGATCAAGTTCTTCTCATCTCATACTTAGAATTCTTCACTTTTCCTACCACATTCAAGATAGTTTTCAGATTTTTCAGTTCAGCAGATCTTTCACGACTTAGTTCGTGTTTATCCCTCAAATCTCGAGGCTCACTCCACTCTAAGTGCACCCTCTGCTCTATGGTGACAACCACTCATTTCCTGAGCAGGAGTATGCAAGTACATTCCGGTACATCTGCATAGTTGTTCTTTCCTCCTAAAATATCTTCTCCACTCCTGCTCTGTAGAATCACTTCTTCTCTTCTGTTTTAAATGTACTTTTATAGAGACAGGGTCTCACTCTGTCACCCAGACTGGAATGCAGTGGCATGACCATAGCTCACTGGAGTCTCGAACTTCTGGCTCAAGTGATCTTCCCACCTCTGCCTCCCAAAGTGCTGGGATTACAGGCATGAGCCATCACGCATGGCTGTAGACACATTTCTATTCTTTACTTAAAACTTAGCTTCAGTCAACTTTTCCAAGAAGTATTTAAATGTTGTTTAAATGCCCAACTTTATTTGCTGACATAGTACCCAGGGTTTCTATTTAGTAGTTATGATAGTATAAAATAATTGTTTGTATCTTTTCCAATTGCACAAGTTTCTTGTACCTTTGTGTCTCTGTCTCTCCTAGTCTACTGACTGTCACATATTGACTCTCACCTATTGACTGGCTTTCCTGCACTGAGTCCTGGGGAAGGACACTATATAATCAGCAGCACCTACTTGGACATCCACAATTTCATTAAAGGGAATAGAAAATGGTAGGATAAAGGAAGGACTGGGGCAGGAAGGAGAAGCTCTGGGATAGGTGATGAGCACATCAGTTTATGTTTTCACTGCTACTCTATGCCCTCTTCAAGTAGGGGAGTATGTCAAAGACGGTCCAGGACTTACCTGCTGCCACCGAAGGCTGATATTTCTATCCTTGTTGAAAGAAGATAGGTAAGGGGATTCTGAGAAACCTTTTCCACCATTTTTTCTGTCATGATTCCTGACCTGGAAGGAAGGAGGCCTTGGGTCACCCCCTACCCAGATGTTCTGGGAATGGACAGCAAGACTGTCAAATGGAGATAGTAGCCTACTCTGTCCAGTTACCCAGTGACAGGAAGCTGGGTGAAGTGGAGAAAACACCACATCTAGAATCAGGCATTCTACCAAGCTGTGTGATGCAGGGCAAACAGCTTGACATTTCTGAGTTCTAGCTTCTTCCTTTTCTAAAATGTGAGTAGTTACCTAAATAATCTTCAAGGTTGTTTGCTGCCCAAAAAATGCCAGTATTGTCAGTACTTTGCATGTTTCTTATATTTTTGCTAGCACTGACCTCAATTTCCAATTCAACCCCAAAACCACTGCAAGATCTCATTTGTGCCCCTCATGTGGCACAAAACTGGGCTACCTCAAGATTCCCTGTTCCCACTTCAATTGCTAAAATCATATTTAGATACCAAAAAAGAAGAGTGGTGCTCATGATTCTGAAGAATAAGGAAGAAAATAAAAAGAACTAATAGTCACTTTTAGCTCAAGATAAGTGTGGGCTATTGACTGATAATTTAGGATGGAAAAGAGCTAGATAGTCTGAATAGACTGTCACTTCATCAACTGTAGTTTTCAGAAGCATCCATATTAATAGAAGAGATATAGACCAATGGAACAGAACAGAGGCATCGGAGGCAACACCACAAATCTACAACCATCCGATCTTTGACAAACCTGACAAAAACAAGCAATAGGGAAAGGATTCCCTGTTTAATAAATGGTGTTGGGAAAACTGGCTAGCCATGTGCAGAAAAAAGAAACTGGACCCCTTCCTGACACCTTACACTAAAATTAACTCCAGATGGATTAAAGACTTAAACATAAGACCTAACACCATAAAAACCCTAGAAGAAAATCTAGGCAAAACCATCCAGGACATAGGCATAGGCAAGGACTTCATGACTAAAACACCAAAAGCATTGACAACAAAAGCCAAAATAGATAAATGGGACCTAATCAAACTCCACAGCTTCTGCACAGCAAAAGAAACAGTGATTAGAATGAATCGGCAACCAACAGAATGGGAAAAAGTTTTTGCAGTTTACCCATCTGACAAAGGGCTGATATCCAGAATTTACAAAGAACTAAAACAAATTTACAAGAAAAAAACGAAACAAGCCCATTCAAATGTGGGCAAAGGATATGAACAGACACTTTACAAAAGAAGACATACATGAGGCCAACAAACACATGACAAAATGCTCATCATCACTGCTCATAAGAGAAATGCAAATCAAAACTACATTGAGGTACCATCTCACGCCAGTTAGAATGGCGATCATTAAAAAATCTGGAGACAACAGATGCTGGAGAGGATGTGGAGGAATAGGAACACTTTTACACTGTTGGTGGGAGTGTAAATTAGTTCAACCATTGTGGAAGATAGTGTGGCGATTCCTCAAGGACCTAGATATAGAAATTTCAGCAATTCCATTACTGGGTATATACCCAAGGGATTATAAATTGTTCTACTGTGAGGACACACGCACATGAAAGTTCATTGCACTGTTTACAATAACAAAGACCTGGAACCATCCCAAATGCTCATCGATGATAGGCTGGACAGGGAAAATGTGGCACATATACACCATGGAATATTATGCAGCCATCAAAAACGATGAGTTCGTGTCCTTTGTGGGGACATGGATGAACCTGGAAACCATCATTCTCAGCAAACTGACACAAGAACAGAAAATCAAACACTGCATGTTCTCACTCATAGGTGGGTGTTGAACAATGAGAACAGACGGACACAGGGAGGGGAGCATCACACACTGGGGTCTGTTGGGGGGAAATAGGGGAGGGACAGTGGAGGGTGGGGAGTTGGGGAGAGATAGCATAGGGAGAAATGCTGGATATAGGTGATGGGGAGGAAGGCAGCAAATCACACTGCCACGTGTGTACCTATGCAACAATCTTGCATGTTCTTCACATGTACCCCAAAACCTAAAATGAAATTAAAAAAATGAAATTAAAAAAAATAGAAGAGACTAAGAGAATAGAGACAACCAAAAACAGTAGAAAACCTTTCAATCATTTATATATGGCTTGGGAAGTGCTTCAGTATTTATATTTCAATAACACTGACTCTGCTGTCGTGGGAACTAAAGCTAAAGTATAAAGTGTATTGGAAAGAACTGAGTTAAAAAGATCTAGGATGATTTACTATGTCCTTATCTTGACCCCCAACTCAGGATTTTTCCCTTTATTCATGATGGAGAATTGTCAGCAACTCTCACATTTATGTAAAGTACCAGCCTAAGATGCATTGCTCTAGATGGCTATCATTATTTTTCCTTAATGTTTTCTAAATTTTATATCCATTTATTTAGAGATGGGGTCTTGCTATGTTGCCCAGGCTGGTCTCAAACATCTGGGCTCAGACGAACCTTCTGCCTCAGCCTCCCACATAGCTAGTACTGTAGCTGTTTGCCACTGTACCTGGCTTGCCCTTATGTTTTCACCATATAAACTCTAGCTTTGGGGAAATCATTAAAGAACATTTAGGACTGAAGCTGCAGGGGTAACAAAAATAAATAAGGAGATGGTGGGTATTCTCAACATTGACTTTATTAGCAATTTGACTTAATAAATATGGAAAATAAGAGTTGCATATTATTAAACTGACCACAGATAACCAAGGGTTGGTTACTCCATACATGATGAGTAAGGTGAGAAGTAGTAATTATTATTTTAAATCAAGCATGCAAGGTGTTCTCCTCGTGTTTATAAGTATTTTAATAAGGAAGGCAAGTATCTTGCCATGATCATAAACATTACCCAAATTAAACTCATGTTCCTATGTCTCTATCAGACTCCAGCTGACCCTCCTAAATACCTTTCTTCAGAGCTGGATGGAAAATTTCCATGTCAGTCATTGACAAAGGTAGCAGTTGGGTGGATAAGTAATCTCCCCTTCCCAAATGTTACCATGAACTTGGAAATAATTAATGATTTTAAAAGGAATATTTTCCTCTTCTCAGAGAGTCAAAGATCTCACCGGGGTTAGAGGAACAAATTCACTTACTGGGATGGGTCTGAATCACTTCCTTTGCGTTTTCGTGGAAACTCTGTCATGTGTGAGCTGAAGGATCCCATAACTGTTGGTCTTGTCCCTGGACTCATGCGACTAGAAACCACAGGAGCAATGCACTGGTTCTCCTCTCTCAACACTTTACCTATGGGGAGCAGAGTAAAACAAGATATTTAGTTTAAATGTTAACTTTTACCTTTTACATATCCGTATCACACATTTTAAATGACTTTTCTATCTTTATATTTTAAAAATATCAGCCAAGGCCAGGCATGATGGCTCATGCCTTAATCCCAGCACTTTGGGAGGCTGAGGTGTGTGGATCACCTGAGGTCAGGAGTTCAAGACCAGCCTGGCCAACACGTCAAAACCCCCATCTCTACCAAAGTACAAAAATTCGCCAGGCACAATGGCGGGCATCTGTATTTCCAGCTACTCAGGTGGCTGAGGCAGGAGAATTCCTTGAACTTGGGAGATAGAGGTTGCAGTGAGCTGAGATCATGCTAACGTACTCCAGCCTGGGCAACAGAACGAGACTCCTCCAAAAATAAAAAAATACACACACACACACACCAGCCAAAACCAACATAACAAAGAATGAAAGACTAATTATGTACACTCAAATATTAATTAAATATGCATTCGTTAGTCCATGTCTTTAAGGCTTTTTCCCTATATAATTGTAAAAGAAGTTTGAATATGGTAGAAAATGCAGAAACACAGAAAAATAGAAAGGAAAAAACAAATTTTTTCCCCAATGTTACAATTCCAATGTTACACCAACCAATGTTACAATTCTTTTGAGATATTTCTTCTTAGAATTTTTTTCCATAGTTATCATTAAGGTAATCGAAATCATACAGTATACAGTAGTCCCCTCTTAACTGCAGTTTTGCTTTCTGTGGTTTCAGTTACTTGCAGTCAACTTCAGTCTAAAAATATTAAATGGAAAATTCCAGAAATATATCATTCATAAGTTATCAATTGCACACGGTTCTGAGTAGCATGATGAAATCTCGCACCATAGTCATCCCTCTGTCCAGCATATCCACGCTGTATCTGCCACCTGCCTGTGAGTTACTGAGTAGCTGGCTTGGTTATCAGATCCACTGTGGCGGTACCACAGTGTTGGTGTTCAAAGAACCCTTATTTTGCTTAATAGTGGCCCCAAAGCACAAGAGTAATGGTGCTGGCATATTATTATAATTGTTCTATTATTAATTATTGTAGTTAATCTCTTACTGTGCTGAATTTGCAAATTAAACTTTTATCATAGGTATGTATGTACAGGAAAAAACTCATATATGTAGAGGTTGGTATGTTATCTGCAGCTTCAAGTATCCACTGGCGAGTCTCAGAATGTATCCCCCACGGGTAAGAGGGGCCAACTATAGTCAGCTTTATTTATGTATCATTGTGACATAATAACTTTCCAGTTTTATCACAAATTCTTTATAAATGACTCTAATGGATGCATAATACAATATCATGTAGCTGTGTCCAGTTATATAACCACTCTCCTATTGCTAGAATCTACATTTAATTTTATTTGCCAGTACAAATTTATATTTTGGTATATAAAATGTTTTATCTACTTCTGGTTATTTTGGATAGTATCCCAAAAATGGGTTAACAAGATCAAGAGACATCAATAATGTTTTTAACTCTGAATTGCTAAGTGTGATTTTAAAAATTCCTTTTTGCCTCAAGTGAGGTTTATTAAATGTTTTACAAAATATAAAAATCAGAATCACTGAACCAAAATAACCTATAGTCTAAATTTGAGTCCTGTAATTAACTATATTTCTCGTATTAAAATGCATATAAAAAGTTTAAAGTAATTTGTATCAATAACACAGATTGAAAATATATAACAATATTTACAAGGAGAATGTAATAAGTTTACAATAATAGTGAAAATTTTTTAACACATCTTTAACAGTAACTGACAGATCAAGTACTAAAAATAATGATACAGAAGATTTAATTGACACAATCAGTGAGTTTGATAATAATAGACATATATGGACCACTATGCCTAGCAGCTTGAAACACCAGTGCTAATTGTTTTTGGCCAATTATGGTGCATTTATAAAAACTGACAATATACTGGACCAAAAACCAAGTCTCAAAGGTTTTGACAAATTGATATCATACATAAAAAATTGTCTGATTACAGTGTAATTGTGTTGGAAGCCAGTAACAAAATGATAACCGGAAAATCCCTATATTTTTGTAAATTAAGAAACCCACAAATAATTTATGAGACAAGAGGAAATTCAAATGTTAAATTACAAAATATTTGGAATTGAATAATAAAAATGTGTGGAGATGCATAAGCATTACTTAGAGTGAAATTTTAACAATGTTTTAAAAAAGAAAGATTGAAATTCAATAATAATTTAAGAAATCAGAAAAAGATCAGTAAAATAAATCCAAAGAACTAGAAGAAAGAAAATCATAAAAATAAGACCAGAAATAATGAAATAGAATATAAGCACATAGAGTGTAGATCAAAAAAGCTAAACAAAATTTCTTCCAACTGATTGGAAATTCTAACAACTTTATGGCAAGGTTTTTCAAAGAAAAAAAGTGTACAAATAAAAATAGTAATGAATATGGGGTCATAATTTAGATTCTCTATTAATTTAAAAGATAAAATGTCATTAAAATCATGCTAAATAGTTAAAAATTTAGAAGGAATGGAAAATTTTTTACAGAATTTTAACTTACAGAAATTGAAACAAGAAATAAAAACCTGAATATTCCTATATTCTTCCTTACACAAACTATTCCACTATATGAAAAAAGAGGGACTACATTGACCCCCAACTTTGTTAATGAGGCTTACATAATTTTGATATTAAAACCTCGAAATGACAGTACAAAAGGAAAATTACAAGCCAATCTCATTCACAAACAAAAATAAAAAATCTTAACAAAATATTATCAAACAAAATTCAGAAATGTATAAAACTATCTACTATGACTAAGATAGTTTCATCCCAGAAATGCAAGAGTGGCTTCATATTAGTAATTAATGAACATAATTTACTATAGTAATAGATAAATGGAAAACTACACAAGCATCTCATTAAATGTAGAAATATTAATGAAGAAATATTGAAAGTGTTCTTTTTAAAATCAGAAACAAGAACATCCTTATTTAATTCTATATTAGAAGACCTCACAGTAGAGTAAGGCAAGAGAAATAAAAATGAAATATAAAATTAAGAAATAAAATTGCTTTTCTCTTATTGGGAAATAACATAATTGACTACATAGAAAACCCCAAATAATCAACATATAAATCATTAAAGTTAGAGGATATAGCAAGTTGGCTGTATATAAATCAATACATAAAAATTAATTGCCTTTCTATCCAAAGTAACAAAATGATATTTAAAACATAGAATTTATAAATAATCTCAAAAATACATAGTAACTAAAGAATAAATAAAATAAATGTGTAAGGTCTTTATGGAAAAAAAACTATAAAACTTTATTTAAAAACACTTAAAAGATCCAAATAAATGGAAAGATATGCCAGGCTTTTGAATTGGAGGCTTCAATATACTAAAGATGTAAATTCTCCTAAAATAGATGTGCAATTCCCCTCAAAATACTTAATTTTTGGTGGACCCTCTCGAGCGGGACACACAACTATGCAAACTGTATATAGAAGAGCAATGGGTCATGAATAGTTAAGGAAAAGGTGGAAGACTGGCCCTATCAGACCTCAAGACATAAAAAAGACCACAATAATTAGGACAGTGTAGTGCTGGTATGAGGATAGATGAATGGAAGAGAACAAAGAGCCCAGACATGTATATATGCACATCTGCTAAATATCAAAGGTGATATTTCACATCAATATGGGGAAAAATCACTTTTTAATAAATGGTCTGGGACTAACTACTTTTCTCTGCGGAAGAGATGAAACTGGACTCCCTGTGTTATACCAAATACAAAAACAAATCCAACTGGATTTGAGACCTAAATGTAAAAAACAAAAATAGAGAAAACTTTTGCTATGGTTTGAATGTTTGTGTCCCTCCAAAATTCATGTGGGAACTTAATTCCCAGTTCAATAATATTAAAAGGTAGGGCCACTAGGAGGTGATTAGGCCATGCACACTCCACCCTCACCGATGGGATTAGTGCCACCATAAAAGGGCTGAGAGGACAAGTCTGTCCTTTCCATTCCTTTGCCTCTTCTGCCAAGTTAGGATGCAGCAAGAAGACACCATCATAGAAGCAGAAGGAGCAGCCCTCACCAGACACTGAACCTGCCTGTGCCTTGATCTTGGACTTCCCAGCCTCTAGAAATGTCAGAAATAACTACCTGTTGTTTATAAACTACCCAGCCTAAGGTGTTTTGTTATAGCAGCACCAATGGACTAAGACAACTCTAAAGGAGAGAGTATTTTTGTGTTATTTCATAGAAAGAAATTCCCAAGATAAAATGTAAAAATAGTAAAGGAAAAGATTGTTAAATGTGATGATCTTTAAGCTAATGTTGATTAAAAGATTCTATAAAGAGAATGAAACCATAAGCCACAAACTGGGAAAAGATATTTGTTAGACATATAAACAACAAAGGGTTAATATTTAGATTATTTTCTAAAGAATGGCTTTGAATCAATAAGAAAGAGACCAATAACTCGATAGAAAATTGGATAAAATACTTGAATAGGCACTTCAAACAAGAAATTCCAGTTATCAACACATGAATGAAGATATTCAATCTCACTGGTAACCAGGAAACTGCTACAGAAACCATACTGATATACTAATATATGATGGCTACAGTTGAAAAACTTGATAATATCAAGTGTTGGTGAGGATGTGGAGCAATGGAAATGCTCATGCTCTGCTAGCAGGAATATAAATTGGTACAGCCACTCTGGAAACCATTTTTGCATTACCTAAGAAAGGTGAACACATGCATAACATATGACTTGGTATTCCACTCCTAGGTATATGGAAAAATTCTTACTGTGTATGAGCTGACAGGTACAAGAAATGCATTAGCACCATTGCTTGTAATTGAACAACAACAACAAAAACCTGAGAAAACTGGAAACTTTAAATTTCCATCAGCAAAGTAGAAATATTGCTTATTTACTGAATAGAATACTAACA